CTCATAGATTGTTTACTAGTTAGAAGTCAGGAAAAAAAGAATAGGAATAAATAGTTTTCATAATGGAGAGAGGTAACTAGGGCTGTCCTCCAGGAGTCTGTACTGGGACCAATCTTATTTAATATATTCATAAATTATTTGAAAAAAGAGGATAAAAAGTGAGGTGGCAAAATGTTTTGCAGATATTGCAGTTATTCAGGAAGTGGTCAGGATTTACTGCCAAGGTGTCCTCACAGGTCTGTGACTCTGTTGATGACGATACCCAGGAAGCTGCTTGCGTGTGTGCTCAATGATGTGAGCTGTGTCGACTTGTGCACTTAATCTTCACAGCAGACCACAGAGAGCCCCCAAAGTCCATAAACCAGATAAGGATTGAAGGTGCCCAGCCAGGTTAATGGTAAACAAAGTAGAGTAATAGTTGTTAGTAGACTCTACTGAATGACTATGCATGTGTACCCTGTAACAAGGAATGACTCAATCAGTGGGAAACTTCCACTGCCCCCTAGGTCATACAAAGACTGTCCCTCCCCCAAGACACCACTTTATAAACAAATCACACATCACTGCTCATGCATCATGTTTCCACCCTCTGACTTTGTCAGGTTACCGCCCTCTGATGCTACTTAGATACCACCCATCATCCTGTACCCCATGATTTGATTAGATCATCTCTAGCCATTATGCTGTCATTTTGGACCCTTTCCTGAACCTGGGTCTGTATCTGTGAGGAGTAGGTACATGGTCTTTTTTAAGGATCTAGTGATACCATGTGCTTTCCACTTATCACCATTACCAATTACTGTTCTACACTAGGACCTATTACCAATTAGCAGTGTTATCTTCAAGTCTTCCTTGTCAAGTCCAAGTCGAATCTCAAGTCACTACAGTTCAAGTCTCAAGTCTTAATTTAAAAAATGTCAAGTCACTTTTGTACAAGCCATCAATATCGGCATTTTTGGACAATTTTTTCACCAAGTTGATTTAACAAAATTAGCAAGTCTCAAGTTGAGTCTCAAGTCACAAACAATGAACCTAGGCGACTTAAGTCAGACTCGAGTTCAAGTTGTGGGACTCGAGTCAACAACTCTGCCAATTAGTGTTTTGTTCTCTCAGCCCTGTTTGTGCCAAGTTCTGAGAGCAGGAGGCCTTCCTCTTGCTCACAGCTTAGTGTGGCAGCCTGAGAACAGGGAGCTGCTGAAGCCTCCTGGAGGGCAGATATGTGGGGAGCTTGATATGTGGCTTTATGTTCCCTGAATAGGCTGTTAAAGACTATGGCCAGCCAGCCATACCTGAATCCTATCTGGCATCAGCCTGAAGGGAGGACTAATTGGAACACCTGCAACCACTTAAGGTTGATGTGTGCACTATAAAAACACTTCCCCAGGCAAGGCTAGGGGGAAGGAGAAAAGAGACAGATTAGAGGAGAACTCAAGGAGAAGGGAGCAACCCAGAGCAAGAGAACACACCCGAGTGACCTGAAGGTTTGCTCTGCGATATCGGGAACGAGATACTGCAGGAGGGGTTGGGGAAGTGGCCCAGGGAGGGGCTGCTACGCTGGGGGCAAGGGCCAAGCTGCATGGCCTGCTTGGGGCTGCCCCCTCCTATAAGGCCGTGGGCCAGAACCTGGAGCAAGTGGGTGGGACCGGGTTCCCCCCAATCCTCCCCTCTGGCTAGAAGGGCCAGCAGGAACTGGAAAAAGAAGGACACTGGACTGGCCAATGATGAAAGAGTCTCTGGTAGCAGGGTACTCTTGCCTTTGTGACAGTAATTAGGGTCACTGTGAGCCTCTGAGGCCCACAAGAACCTGCCAGGAAGTGCAGGACCCACAGGGCTTAGCCCAGACTTTGCCACATTAGCTTTGCTTTATGTTAGCCATGTTTTGTCTGTTGTTAGCTAGTCCTCAGGCCTCAAACCAGGCCTGTGCTACATTGGCTTACATTTTAGGCCTTCATCTTACTAGAGATATTACAAAAGATATATTGGAAATGGAAAACATTCAGAAAAGGCAACAAAATTGATTAGGAAACTGGAACAACTTCCATCTGAGGAGAGATTAATTAGAGTGGGATTTTTTAGTTTGGAAAAGTGGTGACTAAGCAGAGATATGATAGAGATACATAAAATGATGACTGGTGTGGAGAAAGTGTTTACTGATTCCCATAATATAAGAACTAGGGGTCACCAAATTAATAGGCAGCAGGTTTAAAACAAACCAAAGGAAGTATTTTTTCCACACAACACAGGTGACCTGTGGAACTCCTTGCCAGGGGATATTATGAAGGCTGACACTTTAATAGGTTGCAGAGGGGTAACCATGTTAGTCTGTAACTTTAAAAACAATGAGTAGTCCTGTGGCACCTTAGAGACTAACAAAAATATATATAGTATCATGAGCTTTTATGGGTAAAACCACTTATCAGATGATGAGCACTGTAACAGGGTTCAAAAAATAACTAAATACATTTATGGAGAATAGGTCCATCAATGGTTATTAGCTAGCATGGGCAGGGATGGTGTCCCTAGCCTCTGTTTGTCAGAAGCTGGGAATGTATATGTCACATTGTTGGGGGAAAGCCCGTACATTGTAGGGCGAGTGCAGTTTCCCTTGGAGAATGGGTGGGGAAAGTGTATCTTCCATCTTTGTTCCTCTCAACCCAAGTATATACACCATACACTACTACACACTTTATCTGTGGGGCGGTACGGCTTAATGAACAGAGTCCTTTGGTTTGTCTTTGTCAACTGGGCTGCAAGGCTGTGGCACAGTATCAGTAAATCTGTACTTCTGGGCAGAATAGTACAGCCCTATGGCCAGAGTAAGAAAACCCACCCCTATTCACAGCGCAGTAAGACCCACAGGCGAGAGTCAGGAAGTCTCCCCTTTTCGTAGGGCAGTAAGGCCTGAGGGCCAGAGTCAATTAAAGCAGTGAGTTGCGCCTCTCTTTCCACTGAAACTCAGCTCAGGGATTATTAGTGGCCCTAACTCAGGCCACTGAGTCAGCAGGGAAAGACTCTGTCCAAAACAGGCTGACTCTGGCTCATTCATCTGTTTGTCATTGCCTTCCCCTGAACTGCTTCCTGCTACAGTTCCTGTCGCTGTCAGCCCCAACTGAGCCAAGAAGCTCTTTTATACTGATACACCTAGAGCATGTCCAGTAGAATGAAGAGGGTGTGACTTCAGCCCATAATGTAAGGTTAACACCCTCCTGTCCAGTTTGGGATGAGTATGTCCCATCACAGGGTTACAGGGTATGGGTCACTTGATGATTACCTGTTCTTTTGTTTCTTTCTGGGACACCTGGCATTAGCCACTGTTAGAAGAAAGGATACTGGACCAGTATGGTTGTTCTTATGGGGCATACAGTTTCTTCTTAGATTATTTCCAGGTGTATTAAACAGTATATTCGGTTTGACCACATTACATTGCAGCTGTGGATGCTTCTTTCTCTTGTTTGAGCAGGTGCTAGATGCTTAGATCTATAAAATTACAACCTGGACTTTAGTACACACCTTTACTAAGCATTGTGCTCTGAATTTGGGTTCTAGAGTGTATGCGCTTGGCAAGAAGCGCGTTAGTCTTTATTCAATTAAGATTCTGTTCCCACCTCCGTATTAGTCTCAGTGTTGCTTATCAATCTGTCTCATAAGTGGGAATATGTAGAGCCACTGAAAGAAGAAATGAAGGTTATTTACCTTTAAGTGGAGTTCTTCGAGATGGCTCTCATATTCATGTCTCATCCTCCGTCCCCTCTGTCAAAATCCTAATTGTGATGTCTTTGGCTACGTGGAGGAAGCAGCAGAGGTGGGAGAGTGCTCTGCCTCATTTATAGCTTCATCTTGATTATGGTGGGTATGCCGAAGAGCAGGATAGCGGTGCACATGCACTATAGTATGCTGCTAGACAAAGTGGTTGAGTTCAAGGCACCACAGGATAATGCAATATCCCATAAATGGGAATATGTAGAGACGTGTCCAAGAACTGGGGATTTCTTTACAGTAATTCTTGAGATATTTGAAAATAACCTTCTGGGCAACTGGAAAGAAGCTGGATCCATTGTCCTCTCCCTTCCCCACCCCGCCCCCATTTGAGGTTGTTGTACTGCAAGGTTTTATACCCAGATGACTACTTTTGATTTTTCACACATTAACATATGATCTCTTTGAACAAATTGTGCATTTTTATGGCTATGAGCCTGACTATACGATGGGGAATAGACCCCATATTCTGTATAGTAGTATATGTGCATTTTTATTTTCATCTGACAACCAGTAATATCAACAATATAAAAACTTCAGGCTTTAGTGGTTTGACTGTTTTCTTAATGAAGGCATTGTATAATTTAAACTTGATATAAAATTGCATTTTGTATGATTAAAGCTCTGACCAGCTTTTGGTGTGTTGGTGCAGTTTTCAGGTAGAGTCAAATTTTTAAACTCAGACATCATTTTTGAAGTGATTGAAGGAAGTAGTGCTCAGGATCCCAAGGGGCCACTCATTTCCCATTTTATTTTCCCTTGTTTGAGGCCTTGCATCATGATGATTGTGGCAGTGCCTTCAGATTTAGCAAAGGGGGGACCCACTGTTTAGTAAACACTAATGGCAGCACAGCTTCACAGGGGATTAATCAACCCTGCTCAGTCAGTCAGGTACATGGAGCCAGAACACTATCGGTGATCCCTGTTCCTCAAGACTCAGAGTACAGCTTTCATAGATCTCCAAGGCTTGGGTGAGAGGAAGAGAATTGAACTCAACTGAAATTCTGGGTCCTCACATGATAGTATGTTGCTCTAATGTTGGGCCAATGCATCAGCTCACACATTCCTGTATTGTGAATTAAGGATCTGATATGCCCACACAGATACTTAAGGGGTTAACGTAGGAAAGGGACGTTCACATGAAAAACCCTGACAATAAGCTCAGGAATAGAGCCTGTGTTCTATATTGTGGTTAATGTACAGTTGCATCTGCCATACTCTTTCATGTCTTTCTCTACTTGTAGAAATGGGAAGTGACAGCTTTCAACGATTTTTGAATCTTTTGGGTGACACAATTACACTGAAGGGCTGGACAGGCTACCGAGGAGGCTTGGACACCAAAAGTAAGATTCCAGCTGAAGTAACTGATGACAGGTCTGTTGGGAACATGCTGTTAGTGTGCATGGGTATGTGTAGAATACTGTCTACATAACAGACAGAAACAGTCGAATCTGAGAAGAGACCTACTCGGGTAGTATTTCTGAAACACATGTTTAGACACATTTTACAATTTCTCGTCAAATCATCGTAATGTTCTTAATATTATTGGTAAATCTTGATCTCCCTCCCACTGCTGCTATCTATCTGTGATACAGTTACCACCACTCAGCTCTTGTCTGTCATGTCATACTCCTTTCAAAGCCTCCTAATACTATTCCTCAGTCATCTGGATTGGTTATGGCTAAGCAATGTGAGACACTCCCTTCCTCATAACAGTGCTTGGGTTGGGAATATCAACATGGAAAGGCATCCACAATGGCAATAATAAGACATAATGTATCAGGCACCTGCCTCCCAGCTTCAGGATAGCTTCACTACCATCCTTTTCTGCCCTCTGACAGACCCAAGAATTTGTAAGATTTCCATAATGCTTCCTCATCAGCCCAATTTTAGTCCTCACAAGTTCACAGTCTGTTTTCTTAGATTGTGTTCTTATCATGAATCGGCCACCTATTCTGTGTTATAGTGATAGCTACAACAGGTTAAATAGCAAAACAACTTCACATGTTATAAAGAAGAGTCACATTCCGTTCCCTTTTCTATGAAAGGCTAAAATTACACTTGTCAGACACCAGTCTTTGCAGGATAGAACCTTTTTAAATTAATGGGGTACTAAAATAAGACTAAACTGGATATGTGTCTTCCAGGGGGACTCTGCAGGAAAGGTCATTATCCAGTCAAAGCAATGATTAAGAATGTAGATATGCACTGGCTCTTAGCCCCAAACACAGGTGGATATTTTGCTAAATTATAAAAATATTGAATGGGGATTCTACTGGTGTATGTGGGTGGCTGCATTTGGTCATGTTCATGATGCATTTTCACTGAGTTGTTGAATACACATCTCCTTTCAGGGCAAGTCCTGACCTATAGGCAGAAATGTTAATGTGGCTTCATCATTAGCTTTGGTAGTCCACATTTGCATATATTTTAAAATATGCCTGACATCAAAGATTTTTAATTAAAGTTGATCTATTTTTAAGACAAGTAAGAAATATGGATCTGAAAGGAGGTGCCCTGAGACTGTCCTGTAACAAGGAATGAAATTTCCTTTTCTCCTTAAAAATGCAGTGTTGCATGATCCCACTGAGAGTGATTTTCTTCCTTTGCAGATGATACAACAGGAATATATTCCATCTATACAGTCTATCAAGGGCATGAGATAATGTTCCATGTTTCAACCTTGCTACCATATTCTAAAGAGAACAAGCAGCAAGTATGTGGTTTTCATACTGATTTTACTTAGTAAACCACAACATATTTAAAAGGAAAGTTTTTCTGGTTTGTCAGTGCAACTTATTTTTGAAATGTAAAAATTCAAATCTCTCAAAGCTTATGACATTCAAAATTGTGTCTGATAAGTTTTTATACATTTATTACCAAAACACTGCATCACATTACCTATTTCATAGTTAGTTTTGGAAGGATTATGTGGGGATTTTGTCACTGAATGGGGCATGCCCATTCCTTAGGCTTTTAAGCCATGCTTATTGTGTACCAGTTGCCCATACCTGTGATAGCTCTTTGAAATGTCTGGAGGAAACATGCAGTGAAGCTAAGTGCAGAATCTGCAAAAACATCCACCCTCAAACTCAGAAGGAACAGGATATCCGCAGAGGGCCCCTCCTCGTGGAGGCTGTGCTTCATTCTGACTTGGAGTCCCCCAGATTGGACTCCATGCCTAGTATTTCACACTGCTGACTGCTGGCACTGGAACACTCCCAGCATTCTTTCCCCTTACCAGTGCCCAAGAAACAGCTGAGCCCAAGGTCCCTTTGGCATTGCAAGACAAGGGGGCTTTTGGCAAAGGATCTGTAATAGGCCATGTGCCCTCACAGGGGTGCTGCTATGCTCAGACGCCTACCCCAGCCAGGTATCAGACTTCTAGCAAAGAACACCAGGCCCTGATCAGAAGCATGGCTGTTAACTTGAACTTGGAGGTCAAAGAACTAGCAGAGGAGTCTGACAACCTCTTCATTGTCATATCTTCTTCCACCCCAAGGTCATGTTTCCTGTCCACCCAGGGCTCCTGAAAATTGTGAAGTCCCCAATCTTCCATTCTGCCTTCCTCCAAGAAAGTGGAAAAGAAATATGTCCCAATACAGGAAATTAAGTATCTGTATAGCCATCTTCAGCAGCATTCATGGTAGTGCCTGTCATCAATGAAGGGAACAGGAAGGGACAGGCCAGCAGTACACCTAAAAATAAAAATGCAAAGAGACTGGACTTATTTGGCAGGAAAATGTATTGAACAGCCAGCCTGCAATTTCAGATATTGAGCCATCAGTACCTGATAGGTAGGTGCAATTTCAATTTGTGGGACTCAATCAGCAAATTCAAGCAGAGACTTTCACAGGATCAACCCCAGGAGTTTGCTACCTTAGTGAATGAGGGAAAAGTGGTGTCGAGAGGCACCTTCCAGATGACCTAGGATGCTACAGACTTGGTGGCCAAGGTGGTTTCCTCTGCAGTGGTCATGAGACTCAACTCCTAGATACAATCTTATCTGCTGTCACTTGGGGGGGGGGGGGCACTATCTTTCAGGACCTACCTTTGAGGGAGAAGAGTTCTTCTTGGAGTTGACTGATGCATGGCTTCGTGGCCTTAAAAACTCCCATGCTTACCCTCTGGTCTTTGGGCCTGCACATCCTTCCACAGGCTAGAAAGCCATTCCAGCCTCCACCGCCACCTCCTCCTCCATCAAGTTAATGGGATGTTCTCTGGTCCAGATCATTATCTTTCAGGACCTACCTTTGAGGGAGAAGAGTTCTTCTTGGAGTTGACTGATGCATGGCTTCGTGGCCTTAAAAACTCCCATGCTTACCCTCTGGTCTTTGGGCCTGCACATCCTTCCACAGGCTAGAAAGCCATTCCAGCCTCCACCGCCACCTCCTCCTCCATCAAGTTAATGGGATGTTCTCTGGTCCAGATCATACTGAAAGAGAAGGGTTTTAAGTGATGGCACCCCTTGTCTTCCTGCTCCTCTGCCCAACCTGACCCCTCCAGAGACCTGGGCATCCAGAAGGGATACACCCAAGATCAGCACCCCACACATTGCTCAGGATCCAACCCCCTACTTTCTCCTCGACCGTCTGCAGCCCTTCAGATCAGCCTGGTTGCAGCTGACCTCAGACCATTGGGTGCTTAACGTGATTTCTTTGGGCTACACCCTACAGTTTGTGGCTGACCCTCCTTCCCACTTCTTCAGGGACTCTTCTCACAAGCAGCTACTCAAACAGGAGGTCAAGAACTTTCTGCAGCTGCGAGGCAGTAAAGGAGGTTCCTCCAGACACGAGAGGGAAAGATTTTTACTCACATGATGTCCAGATCCCAAAAGCAAAAGGAGGCCTCAGACCTATGCTAGACCTCCAATGCCTCAACAAGTCCCTCAAATTAAAGTTTACTTTGGTCTCCGTTGGCCCCATTTCTCCTTTCTTTATCTGGGAGACTGGTATCCTGCTCTTAACTTAAGGGACGTATATTTCCATTTTAATAGAATCTTAGAACATTAGGATTAACACTGGACAGGATGAATTTTTTTAATGCCTTAATCGCAGGTGTTAATGCTACGCTACCCCTGCTGGAGTCCCCTGCTGGTCCCTGATTCTGCAGTTGCAAAGCCCCTTTAGGGAAATGGGGGCTACTTATCCTGTCTGGTGACAGGCAAGATGGTGGAGTCTCAGCTCTGCTGGCCACTCGTAGTGGTGTGGCTGTCCTCAGTGGACATTCTGTATATAGCTCTCCCCTGTGGGGGGTGTGTGTGTGTGTGTGTGTGTGTGTGTGTGTGTGTGTGTGTGTGTGAGAGAGCGAGAGCGAGAGCGAGCGAGCGAGCCAGAATCTTAAATCCTACCTCAAAACTAACAATCAGCATCAATCCCAAAATAAGATTGAGCACATACTGATGGCAGATAGAACAGGCTGTCTGCTTAGCCTGTTAGACAATAGATCCATGGTATCTTAGAGATTCAGGTAGATGTATACTAAAGAATAATAGTTTGATCAGAAATATATTCAAAAACCTAGAGACCTGTGCTGTTTCCAAATTCCCCAAGAATTTCAAAGTTTTACTAAATTGTCATGCTACTGCTGTTTGAATTTTGATTCTGATTTCAGGTGATTTCAATTTGTTACTGTGGCAGTTGGGATTGTGTGTCTGGGAGTGTTTGCTCCTTTGATTGCCTTTGATCAGCCACCAATCAGCTTTCCCCTGTGTGGCCAACGAGGGGGTGGGCCTAACCTAGGCGCACAGGCTTCAAGAGGCAGAGCGAGCAGGGGAGTAAAGTGGACAGGGGGCTGCGGACAGGGGAGTTTAAGCGAGAGTTTGACAGAGGGAGGCCTACTATGTTAGGAAGACCTGTAACACTTATGCCAGCACTGCTTCAGTCTCCTCCACCTGAGCCTGTAGCCAGGCAGACCACCTGACCATGGATGCCTCTACCCAGATCCTGGTGTGGCTTTGCAAGGACTATGGCTTGCGATTCCCACTGACTGAAATCCAGGCTGGGGGAAACATCCAATGTGAAAGGTGCCAGCTGATGGAATCTCTCAGGAATCAGGTGGGAGAGCTATAGGTGGCTAAGCTGAGGAGTATCTGAATTCACGAGCAGTTCCTGGACAGTATTCATGTGGAGACAGCTGAGGTAGCTGTCCCACTTCACAAGACTGCTGACACACCACTGGTGGAGGAGGAGATAGCTTAGGAGGGACACGCAGCTGGTCACTTCTGGTGGCAGGTAGTGCTCCACTCTGCTCCCAACCTTCGCACCATGGTATAGGGAAACAGTTACGCTTTTGATACAGGGTGTATTTCCTTATCTCCTGTATCTAAAGGAGTGTAACTGTTTGGTTAAAACAAAGGAGGAGAAGCCTCTTACCCCCAAAGCTGGGAGGTTTGCTGCCACCACTGCGAGGAGGAAATGTAGGGTAGTGGTGGTCAGAGACTCTCTTCTGAAGGGGACAGAGGAGCCTAACATGTCATCTCGGGAGGTGCTGCCTGCCAGAGGCCCATAGCTGAGACGTTACGGAGGCATTGTCGAGGATTATCTGGACCTCTGACTACTACCCCATGCTACTAATCCATGCGGGCACTGATGATACTGCAAGGTGTGACACTGAGCAGATCAAGAGTGACTAAAGGACTCTGGGAGTATTGCTGAGGGAGTTTGGAGCGCAGGTGGTATTCTCTTCAGTCCTTCCTATCAGAGGTAGGGTCCCAAGCAGAGACAGGTGCGTCCTGGAGGTAAATGCCTGGCTGTGAAGTTGGTGTCACCAGGAGGGCTTTGACTTCCTCGACCTTGGGATGCTATTCCAAGAAAGATTGCTAAGCAGGGATGGGGTTCACCTTTTGAGGAAGGGGAAGACTGTATTTGGATGCAGACTGGCTAACCTAGTGAGAAAGGCTTTAAACTGGGTTTGACGGGGGCAGGTGACCAAAGCTTACAGGTAAGTGAAGAACATGGAGACCTGGGAGAGGGTTGGAAATAGAAGGAAGCATGGGCTAAAATAGCAGCGATAAAGGAGGAAAAAGGCAGAACTGGGAGGCAAAATCAAATCAGTATCTTAGATGCCTGTATACAAATGCAAGAAGTATGGGTTATAAGCAGGTAGAACCTGAAGTGCTAATAAATAAACATAACTATGCCATTGTTGGTATCACAGAGACTTGGTGGGTATGGCTTATTCAGGAAGGATATCTGGGGAGAAAAAAGGAGGAGGTGTTGTGTTATATATTAAAAAGGATGATGTCATGCTAGGGGTCTACAACCCGCATCTTCCTGGAGGGTCACATCGTTTTAATCTGGGCTGGCCGGTATTTCCTTTTCCCAGCTTGGTGCCGATGTAGAATCATAGAATACTAGGACTGGAAGGGACCTCGAGAGGTCATCGAGTCCAGTCCCCTGCCCTCATGGCAGGACCAAGTACTGTCTAGACCATCCCTGATAGACATTTATCTAACCTACTCTTAAATATCTCCAGAAATGGAGATTCTACAACCTCACTGGGCAATTTATTCCAGTGTTTAACCACCCTGACAGTTAGGAACTTTTTCCTGATGTCCAACCTAAACCTCCCTTGCTGCTGTTTAAGCCCATTGCTTCTTGCTCTATCCTCAGAGGCCAAGATGAACAAGTTTTCTCCCTCCTCCTTATGACACCCTTTTAGATATCTGAAAACTGCTATCATGTCCTCCCTCAATCTTCTCTCTTCTAAACTAAA